GCACGCACGCACGCACGCACGCACGCACGCACGCACAGTCATTTACAGTCACACACGCCCAAAAACCGGGTGTACTGCTTGCTACTCACACTATTCATACGTGTCCTATAAGTCATCCCGCACGTGCAGAAAACTATGCGCCCGACATTGAATCTACGCGACGAATGTTTCGACATCGAGGAGGAGAAACGTACCAAAGAAGTACTCCTGCACGGTGTTCACGTATCCATACACCGGGTTGTGTCCGAAGATGACGACCATGCGATCGTCGACGACGTTCGCCGTGTGCCCCATCAGCCCGTAGGGGGCGCCACCTCTCGTCTCGTTGCTCCACGTGTTGTTGGCGACGTCGTAGCGCCACAGTTCGTTCGTCGTGCGGCCGTTTATCGAACCGCCGAACGTCCAGATGCTACTGCTACTGCTGCTGCTGCTGCTGCTGCTGCTGCTGCTGCTGCTACTACTGCTGCTGCTACTGCTGCTGCTACTGCTGCTGCTGCTGCTGCTACTACTGCTGCTGCTACTGCTGCTGACCGAGTCGTCTTTACTCTGCGAACGAAAGGACATAAAAAAAAGTCGTTAAATGTTAATTGTTGATGATAATGAGATGACTTCGGGTCAGGGTTATCATATGGTAGGGCTAATTTCTCACCATAGGGTTTTACAAGGCCACTAACTTATTAGCAGGTTGTTAAACGGGTGCGCGCGGACGTACAAACCACGCTGCTAGATGGGCGCACGCGAGTGTACAACCCTGCGATCGCGTGAGGGTGTAACTACGCGCGTGTGTGACAACTGTGATGCGCGGGTACAGTCTAACGTAAGTCCCCGGCTTGGATGTCGTCACCACCATGCTGTAGGAAGCCACAGATGTCGGAGACAAACTCTCCATCGCCCCGACTCGAGTACTTCCGAAATACGCGCGCGAGGAAACGCGACGAGGAGAGCTAACGTGAGCATGGGATGTAGATCAGGTTGTTAGGATGTGTTCTGTGGCGTGACTCGAGTACTTCCGACTCGCGCCAGTAAACGTAACGAGAGCAAACGTGTGTGTGGGATGCAAATTAGTTAAAGACACCCCGTTAGGAAGGGTTCTGTGGGGGCGATGACTTCACGTAATAATGAGAGCGAACGCACACGCGGGATCGGATGTAGATTAGCGAGTGTTCTGTAGCAGCGATGATTTCATGTACCGTGTGGGATTTAAGTTAGTTTAAGAAAGGTTATGTTAAGTTAAGCCTGTTAGCGAGTGTTCTGTGGCGGCGGTGATATCACGTACCGTGTGGGATTTAAGTTAGTT